TCCACCTTCCTCCGTCTAGTGTGGAGATCATGGAATTTACACCTATCTGAGACTGGTCTACGTTGCAAGTTTATACAGGCATAACTACATCTATCAGGGAAGTAAAAAAACTCAACAATCAGGAGAGATGTAGCTATTCTGACCTAACCTCTAGTGTGGAAAGCTCTAGGTCAATTAAAGACGTCTTCCACAATCTAGTTACTTGCCTCTGCGGGAGGCGGATTACAGTGATGGGAGAACCCCTCCCACTGCTGCAGTATCTACACTGAAGCACTACAATGGCACAGCTGCATTATACCACTGTAACATTTTAAGAGCAAACACAGCACATACTACCCATGCCAATGTGATGATTCTTCTATCACCACAGGTAATTCACTACCCCGAGGCGCTGGAGCTAGGTCAATGGAAGAATTTTTTCTACTGACCTAGCACGGTGTACAGCAGGGATTGAGCTGACAACTACACCACTCTGAATTTATTTTAAAATAGTGGTTTGCCTGTGTAGACGCTATTAAAGTTAATTTGAAATAACTGCTGTTATTTCCAGTTAACTTTGTAGTGTAGACATACCCTGGGAGCAGTTTATTCCATAGCTGTCTATTTCACAGCTTCTTCTGCCTTCCTCTGAGGCATCTGGAACTCACCACTGGGCATTGGAATGGATGGGCTACTGGTCTGATGCAGTCTGGCAGTGCCTATCTTCCTATTGGTGGAGTAAAGCCAATAATATGGTTTTGCTGGTCTTTCTTGAGCTCCTGGGAGTCTGTGAGAGCAGACTGGTGTCTCATGAAATATCACCTAGACTCCTGTTCTTTTTCCTTTCAGGCAGGAAAGTTCAAAACACCTTGCACCTGCTCAGTACATTATGTCAGCTCTCAATGATACCAACTTCCAATTTTCAGTGCTCCTTCTCACCGGGATACCTGGGGAAGAAGATGTCTATCTCTGGATCTCTATCCCTTTCTGCTTAATGTATGTTATTTCGATAGTAGGCAATTCATTCATTGCGTTCGTTATAAAAAAAGACCCAAACCTCCATGAGCCCATGTACATTTTCCTTTCCATGTTGGCCATCACAGACATTGGCTTATCGATATCCACCATACCGACCATACTGGGCATTTTCTTATTTAACTTTAGGGAGATCAGTCTCCATGCCTGTTTTGCCCAGCTGTTCTTCCTCCATGCACTTCAGTGCATTGAATCCTCCGTGCTCCTGTTGATGGCCTTTGATCGCTTCATTGCGATCTGTATCCCACTGAGATACGCTTCCATCTTAACCCTGCCGAGAATAGCCAAGATGGGGCTGGTGTGTGTGGTAAGAGGGGTGGTCCTATTATTCCCACTTCCCATTCTCCTGAACCGGTTCCGATATTGTCGAGTCAACATACTCTCCCATTCCTACTGCCTGCACCAGGAGGTCATGAAGCTGGCTTGTGCGGACATCACAGACAACAGCGTCTATGGATTGTCCGTTGCTCTCTTCACAACGTGGTTGGATGCTCTGCTCATCTTCCTCTCTTACGTGATGATCCTCAAAACGGTGCTGAGTATCGCATCCCGTGTGGAGAGCCTCCGAGCTCTGAACACCTGCGTCTCCCACCTCTGTGCTGTCCTGCTCTTCTACATACCAGAGTTCAGCCTATCTCTGATACACAGATTCGGGAAGGACTCTTCTCACTTTCTTCAGATGCTCATGGGCTACATCTACCTGTTTGTCCCACCGCTGATGAATCCCATTGTGTACAGTGTAAAAAGCAAACACCTTCGTGCGAGGATCACTAGGATGTGTGCCAAGTGAAGGGCCAGTTTATCACCTAGCTCCAGAACCGGTTCACATGGGAGATGAAGACATTGGCCACGGCCGCCTATTCCATCCTGGAGCAGCTGATCTCCACTCTGTAGAGAGAGGTTCACATGGGCCCTCAGGTCTGGAGCAATTTGTGAGAGGGGTCAGTGTAGTGAAGGAGGATGGGGGAGGGGGACGGAGGGAGGGGAAAAAGAGAATAACACCAAGGTAGGCAGTAGCATTCACAAAATGTCTGTGTTTGTCGAGAGCAAGGGGACTGATGGAATTGGGCTAATGAAGAGATATATTGGTGGCTGCTTCCACCTCAGAATTCCTCTGTATAGCATCAATAAAGAGAAGGGAGGTGGCTGTTGTTTCTCATGACACTTGGCCTGTCATTGTTCAGTCTCTGCTTAAACATCCAGGGGCCATGAAAAAAGCTGCTGACCTGTTCTGCAGTCACAGTCCTGGCCTGGCATGAGCACTCTGGGTGCCGTGTGATCCTTGGGCCCTGCACCAGCAGTGGGCAAGAGGCACAGACACCCATCCTACCCCCATGCACTCAGCCAGGGGCTTGTGACTGAGTCCTGTCAGAGACGTGATTAAGGCAGGAGACCTGGGAAAAGCCGGTCAGAAAACTCCTCCCTCCCTCTTAACCACTGCACACACACAGTGAGGGAGGGAGGGCAGGGCTGTGTGTGCGAGGGAGGGTCTGACACGCAGGCGTCTGGACAAGAGACTCAGCCCCAGATTTCTTATCCTTCCCCTCCGTTTGGGCCTCCCAAGGAACGCAGAGGTGGAAATGGTCCTCAGGTCTCTCACACAGCTCGCTCCTGTTCCAGCCTTACCCATTGAGTGTAGGGCGACCCCTTGTCACAGGCAGGAACCTCGTCACCTCTACAGCTGCCATATCTATTCCCCCATGACCCCGTCCCTATTACTCCCCTCTACCGGAGACTACATCCCCTCTGCAGGCCAGAAGCCAGACTAGGCCATGGTTCGAGATGACCACTGAGCTCAAGCCACTGTGAAGGGCCTTAGACCCCACCCCTGCCTGTGCCAGGCCAATGGGGGCCCAAGAGCAGCCCCCAGCCCCTGTCTCTGCACCCTAGGATGCTCAATCCAGGAAAGGTGCAAGATTCTGGGGCTCCTCACAGTGGCCTGGGCTCCTGGGGACAGCTCTGACCATGGCTGAACTTGGGCCTTGCCTGGGGGCAGAGCCTCAGGGGAAGGGGGCGATTAGGGGGCAGGGCCTCACGGGAAGACATTGTGGGAGGCTATGGAGTGAAGGTGGGGAAGGGGCCGTAGGGAAGCAGAAGCTGTGCTTTGTAGAAGATTGAATGACTCCAGTCCCACAAAGGGGGCTTTTGTTTTAAGTTGTCTTGGGTACCACACTTAATCTGCATTATTATCCAAAACATTCCTTTCTCTCACAGCTTCCCCTCCCCGGCCTTGCCTGCGCACTTTCGTGCACCAGACTTGAGACAGGCCTGGGCTTTGCTTTCTAGAGATCCGCACTGCGATCAAAGCAGACATCACTGTTTATTGTCAAAGCAGGACCATCCAGGCTCCCCTACATATAGATTGTGAGGGTCTCGGGTGCTCAAGTGCAGTTGTAGCAGCTGGCGCTCCAGGCGGAAGGTGTGATTGGCGCCCCCACGGCCGGCAATGGCCGTGATGTCATCATCGGGCACCCGGGCTGGCGGCGCCCTAGGCAACTGCCTAGTCTGCCTAGGCTCACGGGCTGCCCCTGAAGGTGCCACAATATTGGGGGCAGAGCTAAGTGCCTTAGAGGGATTCCAGGTTTGAATAGCTCATTAGGGTGATCTGGGACCCTGGATGGAGAATCTGAACTCTTCCCAACACCCGGATTCCAGGTTTGAATGGCTCATTAGGGTGATCTGGGACCCTGGGTGGAGAATCTGAACTCTTCCCAACACCCTTTGCCGATGAGACCTGTCCTTAGCACAGCCCCCTTGATGTGGTAGATTTGGGCTCCTCCTGCAGCTTGGCAATAACAGGGGGAATCAGGAGGCCCTTTCACAAAGTGACGACTCTGGAGAATGTTGCCTGGCTGAACAGAGCCCTGCTGGGCTGCCTGTTGGTCTGATCTGGACCCCCACGTGCTTCCATGAGCAGTGAGCGGTGGTGCAGCATTGAAGACAGATCTCACACGCTGCATCCCAATTTCTACCATCACCAAGTGTGGGGGTAGCTGGATCTGGGGGAGCAGACTGACCTCACAGGCTGCATCCCAATTTCCACCATCACCAAGTGTGGGGGTAGCTGGATCTGGGGGAGGAGTTTTTTGGCTCCAATACAGAGCTGGCAGCAGGCCTTTGGAGCTGGGTTTGGGTCACACCCATTTCTATTAAGAAAGTGCATGGCCTTGCTTTCCTGAGCAAGACTGTTCCTTAGAACTGGAGGCTCTGTAGCCCAGTGCAAAGGGACACAGTGTCTTTGCCACAGATGGACTGAGTGACCAGAAAATGTCCAATCTCTAACCCTCAGGTTTTCATTTGCGGGTGCTCTCCTTGAGATACACCCGGCAGAACAAGTTCCTGGGATTCTCTTGGGAGTCTTCGCTGTTGCCTGCCTTAAACAGATTTTAAACTGCAGCAAGGGAGGTTTAGGTTAGACATTAGGAAAAACTTCCTACCAGTCAGGGAGGTTAAACACTGGAATAAGTTGCCTAGGGGGGTTGTGGAATCTCCATCTCTGGAGATATGTAAGAGCAGGTTAGACAGACACCTGTCAGGGATGGTCTAGATGGTGCTTGGTCCTGCCATGAGGGTAGGGGACTGGACTTGATGACCTCTTGAGTTCCCTTCTAATTCTAGTATTCTATGAATCTATGATTTAATTTAAAAGAGAGCTGCAGAAAAGCTAAAAAAAAATCAAGCATGTGAACCCCAATGGATCAGACACCACAGACAAATGAAGATAAATCTCACATCATATTTTAAAATCTCATTACATTTAAATCAATCTCATCTTTTTGGGGCTGTGTCCCATAATTTGTGAATGGAGCTTGGCAGTACCTGGGTTAAAAGTTCAGAAAAGCAACTCGCAAAAATTGTCAGCATTTTTTAAGTACATCAGAAACCGGATGCCCTGGCAAACAATCACAAGGACCATTGGATGATTGAGGGGCTAACGGAAGGCGAGGCTTCTGTGCAGAGACTAAATACATTCTTTACATTGGTCTCCACTGCAGAGGATGTGAAGATTTTCACACCTGAGCCATTCATTTTAGTGACAAAGATGGGGAACTATCCAGTGTTGAGGAGGTTGTGATGTGGCACCTCATAGTTATCATAGTGCTGTGCTAATGAGATGATTATGACATAATTGTGAGGCATCTGGTATAAGGTATGTCTTGGGAGACATCAAGGGAAAAGTTATGATTTCATAGAATCATAGAATTATAGAACTGGAAGAGACCTCCGAAGGTCATCAAGTCCAGCCCCCTGCTCTAGGCAGGACCAATTCCAACTAAATCAACCCGGCCAGGGCTTTGTCAAGCCGAGACTTAAACACCTCTAGGGATGGAGACTCCACTACTTCCCTACGTAACCCATTCCAGTGCTTCACCACCCTCCTAGGGAAATAGTTTTTCCTAATATCCAACCTGGACCTCTCCCACCACAACTTGAGACCATTGCTCCTTGTTCTGCCATCTGTTACTACTGAGAACAGCCTCTCTCCATCCTCTT